TTTTTTTTTTTTTTGCCATCTCTAGTTTAGGTGTGTGTAAAAAGGGGTTGGACAACCACATCTACATATGTTGCAGTGTGGTTACTCCTATAGATATTTTCAATTAGACCAAGGATGAGTTAGTTGGGTGTAATTGGAATAGTAGAGGTGTCCAAGCCATCTTTATGGCTATTTCTCCAAAAGAATTTGACCGAGTGCTTATGTGTGAGACTGTTAAAAAAGTTTGGGATATTCTTGAAATCACACATGAGGGAACTAAGATCGTGAAAAACTCTTAGCTACAAATGTGGACCATCAGGTTTGAGTAAATTAGAATGAAAAATATGAATCCTTCAATGAGTTCTATGCAAAACTAAATAACATAGCGAATTCCAGTTTCAACCTAAGTGAAAGAATTCTCAAAACTACAATTGTAAAAAAAGTTCTAAAATCTCTACCTGAAAGGTTTAGACCTAAGGTTACTGAGATTGAAGAAAGCAAAAACCTAGATCAAATGAGAATAGAAGAACTTGAAGGTTCCCTCCAAACATACAAACTTATCCTACCCATGTCTCTAAGAAAAAAAGTCTTTAGCCCTCAACACTATTAAGGAAGAGATTAGTGATAAGACTGACGATGACACTCTTAAAGATGAAGATGTAGCTTACTTTGTTCAGAAATTCAAGAAATTCTTTTGGAACAATAAGAAACTTTCTAAGAAAATTTAAGGGTGCATCTAGTAAAAATAGGAATGATAAAAAAAGAGAATAAAGATACCCAAAATGCCAAGAAGATGTCTCAATCTATTAGGTATCATAAGTGTTACGGGTTTAAACATGTTCAAGTTGAGTGGCTAAGTTATAAGAAAACCGAGGTAAAGCCATGAATATAACTCTTACCGATAACGAGTCTAGCTCCGATGATCAAAGTGAGAATTCCAATTCTGAAGAGGAATTATATGGCGTAGTTAAGAGTGAACCTATGGAGGAGAATGAGAAAGACAATTTAAAACAATCTAACTCTTCAGAGAAAGAATCAGAAGATGAAAGGGATATCCAAGAGGCATATGACCAACTATTTGAGGAGTCTCAAATTGGAAAAGCTAAGTAGGGCCCTTCAAGAAACTACATGATATTGAAGTGGAAAAGAAGAGACAATTGGTTAAACATGAAGAATCAACTAGTTGTGTGAATGAGTTGAGGTTTGAGAAAGAGTCTCTAGAAAACAAGGTTTAATCTCTAGCAAGTGATCTTGAGAAATCCAATGCACAACTTTGCTCTTTTTCGAGTGGATCTAAGAAGCTTAACAACATCCTAGGATTGAACAAACATGTTGGGACAACTGCCTATCAAGGGGAACTAAAGAAGGTTTTGAAAGTTATTAAATAAAATAATAAATTTTTGAGGAAAAAGACGAAGTGGGGTGGGTGGAAAATAAAGTTTTAAAGATTTGTGATTGTGAGTGGTATATAAAAAAAAATTGAGAATAATTTGTAAAAAGAATAAAAAGTTTAGATACTAAAATTTCAATTATTACTTTTGAATTTTGGATTTTTTACTATTTTTAATGGAAAATTTGATTGTAGGATGGCCTTTCGCATAAAAAGTTTCAAATCTGGGGTTTTTTTACGATTTTCAATAGGTACGGTACAATATCACAAATGGAAACGTTTCTAGGAGGATTTTCTGCTATTAATCATTTGTCATAACGAGTTAAATATTGTTTTGTTTTTTTTGGAACAATTTCGGTATCCTAAACATATATGATATAAACTTAAAAGTTTCAATATCCTGAATATATAAACTTGAATTCCATATCCCGAAATCATCAAAATCCAAATGCACTAGCTAGACAAAATCTAAACAGATAGACAAGATTCTTAAATCCTAAAGTATTTAGACAATATATTTCAACCAATTAACAGAACTACATAAATGACATAGCTAAAAACAATATAAGGTTCAAAGTCTCATGCCAACAACTGTCATGCTGATTGTACATAGCATTGCAACATAAAAAATAATTAATAATTAACAAAGACATAATTGATCGCAATTTGAATCAAATCTGCACTTCTAATTGTTGGAGATATTACACCGATAATTTGCATATTATATTAATCAAAAATATACCGTGAAATTGAAATATCATTCGATTTACCGAAATCTGACTTGAGAAGACAAAATAGTAATTACCGACTTCCAATATATGAATATGGATTCTTCACTTTCCAATCTTGAACGCGTGTCATTCTTTAATTCAAACCTTACATGAAATCAAAAGAATATTAGTTACTTTTCGAAATCAAAATACTAAATTAGAATGAAATCGGAAAATAAAGAGGAGATGCAGTGATGCGATCGATCGAGGCAAGTGTTTGACACTTTGTCCTTAACATGAATTTGCCCCGCATCGGTGCTAACGATTTCTCGGCAATCATCTCCCAAAATACAACGACCACGTCAAGACATAGGAACACTCCAAATGGCTTAGACCAACGAACTCGAACGGAGTTCTCTCTCTACCATAACCATGATTTTGATGTAAGAAATAATCATTTCTACAAAGTGGTTTATGCAGAACTAAAGTAAAATATGGAATGGAATTATATGAAACTATCAATTGAATTGTTCCTCTTTCTTGTTGTTAATCCAAACACATGGGGATCTATATATATAGTAGTTGGAACATTCATACCAAAAGACACATCTCTTGGAATTTAAATCTCTCCATAAAGAAGCACAATTACATCTCTACATAAAGAGACCATTATTGAAAAATAATGCCAAGAGTCATGATCTATATGAAAAAATTCATCTTTTCATCTACTCATTCTCTAAAATATTCTACAATATTCTATACAATTTTCAACAATTTCAAGTATTTTAAGTTTGGCTTAATTTCTCATTCACCAAACAAAAAATTCCATTTAAACAATCACTTAAATTGGTCACAACCAATTTCGAATTTTTCAACACTAATTACAAACGATAAACACATTATTTATAAATTGCAGCCCACGTGGAGAACCTTTTTTTTTCCTCTTAAAGTTGGCTCTTCAAAAAAATTCGAGCATAGTTATGAAGCATTACCCATAAGACATAAAGTTATCATTCAACAGAAAAATAAAAACATGGGAAGTAAAAAGGGTAACGGGAAACATGCCATAAAAGTTGGGGAACTAGATACAAATGAGATAAAGAAGTCACAGCAATG